CTTCCTCTCCGTGACCACCCCTCCACCTCTCTGAGCATGATGTCTTCCTCCAAGGAACAGCTTCTCATCGCAAAATACCCAGAGCAAGTGAGGTGAAGTTTCATCATCTTTGCCTCCAAGGAGCACTCTGGCTGCACTTTCTCCAAAACTATTAGTTTTTTTTCTTTTGGCAGTTCCTGGTATTCAGTGCTCTCCTTAACCCCATAGCCCAAAGGTATCTATACTTCTATTATCCTCATAGATTGTGCAGCTCTCAGATGCATGACAAGTGACTGAAGAGACCACGGCCTGAAACCGACATCCCCGCCCCTCCGTGACCTGAGACCACAGACCATCCTGGTGTACTATGTCTTCTGATTCCCTGGCTGCTGACACCAAATGTATTGATTGTGGATCCAAGTAAGATGAAGTCAGTGACAGTCTCAATCTTTTCTCTATCTATTGGTCCAGTGGTGAGGATTTTTGTTTTCTTAACGTTGAGATGCAGTCCATACTGAAGGCTGTGGTCTTTGATCTTCTGCAGCAAGTGCTTCAAGTCCTCACTTTCAGTAAGCAGTGTTGTATCATCCACGTAACAAAGGTTATTGATGAGTCTTCTTCCAATCCTGATGCCACATTCTTCTTCATAGAGTCCAGCTTCTCTTATACCTCACTCAGCACTTCTGAAGCTGAAAGAACTGAAAAATAAATTTAATTGCAGTACTGAGAGATGCTTTGGGTAAAATCTTGAATGATCCAGAAAACACCAAAAGAAATGGTCACTATACCAAGAAGAATTGCCTCGTACTGAAATATTTCAAGATACACCATCTGATCAAAAGCAACAGTAATGAAGAAATTCAAGGTGTCTCAAACTGTAGGAATTAGCAAAAAATTAGGGCCCAGGAATCAATGGGAACCAACTGACCTATTTCAGTAAACAGATGCTCGCCTGGGTGTGCTCAGTAGTCTATGCCAGGAAATCTGGAGGACGACTGCTTGGCTGACTGACTGGAAGAGATCCATATTCATTCCCATTCCCAAGAAAGGGGATCCAGTAGAGTGCAGAAATTCTCTAACGATAGAATTAATATCACATGCAAGCAAAATACTGCTGAAGAGCATTAAAAAATGGCTAGAACACTACATACAAGGGAGCTCTGGTGGCCTAGTGGCAAGAAGCTGCACTGCAATCCCAGAGGTGCACTGTTCGAATTCACCAGATGCTCTGCTGGAGAAAGAGGGGCAATCTCCTCCTGTACCAGTCAGATCCAATTTGATGGTACATGCACAAAAAATAATAATTTAAAGAAATCAGCAATACATACAGAACTTCCAGAAGTTCAAGTTGGAGTTAGGAGAGGCTGTAGCACCAGGGATATCATTGCTGATGTCAAATGGATCCTGGATGGAAGCAGAGAATACGAGAAGAATGTCTATTTGTGTTTCATTTGACAGTGGGGAAAAGAACATGTTATGGCTGACACTGAGAAGAATGGGAATCCCAGGCACTTAATTGTGCTCCTGCTAAGCTTATCTCTAGACCAAAAAGCTGCTGTGCAAACAGAGCAAGGAAACACTGTTAGGTGCTGTCGAGTCGAGTATGATTCATAGTGACCCTATGAACAGAAGATCTGACCCCTGACCGATCCTGCACCATCCTCACACTTCCTGACACACAAGAGCCCATTGCAGCAGTCACCATGTCAGTCCACCTGGTCACGGGTCTTCCTCTCCTTCGCCAGCCCTCCACCCTTGCCAGCATCATGTCCTTCTCCAAGGAATAGCCCCTCCTAGTAACATGCCCAAAGTATGTGAGGCAAAGCCTCATCACTCTTGTCTCCAAAGAGCACTCGGGCTGCACTTTCTCCAAGACACAGTTTGTTCTTTTTGCCATCCATGGGATGTTCAGTGCTCTTCTCCAGCATCACAGCTCAAAGGGGTCAATTCTTCTTCTGTCATCTTTATTCATTGTCCAGTTCTCAGATGCATAGCAAGTGACTGGAAAAACTATGGCTCTGTTCGCACAACATCCTCCTGGTCCAGGTACAGCTTTTGCATGAGCACAGTTAAGTGCTCTGGGACTCCCAGTCTTCTCAAAGTCAGTCACAACTTGTTGTAATAAGTACACAGGAGCCAAGATATGATCTTGAATCAATTCCATCTGAATTTTAAGATCATTTTAGAAATAGGTTTGAGGCATTGAACAACAATGATCAAAGACCAGATGAGTTTGTGAGATGGTATCACAGATATCATCCATAAAGAAAGCAAAAGATCATTATAAAAACAGGGGAGAAAAAAATTAAAATTTATGTCAAAAGAGACTAAGAATTGCACAGGAACATTGAGAAGCCAAAATTAGAGGAAAACATGCCAAAATAAAAGAGCTGAACAGAAGATTTCAAAGGGCAGCTCAGGAGGACAAAAAGTATTATAACAGAATGTGCAAAGTGCTAGAATTGGAGAATGAAAAGGGAAGAACTCACTCTGCATTTCTCAAGCTGAGAGAACTGAAAACATTTAAACCTTGAGTCACAATATCGAAAGATGTTATGGGCAATATGTTGAATGACTCAGAGAACAGCAAAAGAAGATGGAAGGAGTACACAGAGTCACTGTACCAAAAAGAATTGGTTGACACAGAAGAATTTCAAGAGAACATATAATCAAGAGGCAATGGTGATGAAGCCTTAGAGGAAGTTCAGGCTACTCTGAAAGACTTGGTGAAAAATAAAGACCTAGACATTGGTGGACTACCAACTGACATATTTCAACAAACAGATACTGCCCTGGATGTGCTCACCAGGTTGTGCCAAGAAATCTGGAGGACATCTACCTGGCCAACTGGAAGAAATCCATATTTATCCCCATTCCAAAAACAGGTGACCCAACAGAGTTTATCACTCGATAAATCCAACAGAAATTAACAATATCACTAATATCACATGCAAGCAAAATCTTGCTAAACATTACCCAGAAACAACTGGAACAGTACATCGACAGAACTACCAGAAATACAAGCTGGGTTTAGAAGAGGTTGTGGCACTAGAGACATTATTACCCATGATGATAGATCTTGGCAGACAGCAAAGAGTACCAGAGGAATGTCTATCATTGTCAGTGTGTTTCATTGACTCTGCAAAGGCATTTGACTGTGTGGATCACAACAAATTGTGACTAACCTTGAGGAGAATGGGAATCCAAGAACACTTGATTGTGCTTATGTGAAACCTATACTTGGACCAGGAAGCATTCTTCAGAACAGAGCAAGGAAACACTGCATGGTTTAAAATCAGGAAAGAAGTGTGTCAGGGATGCGTCCTGTTCCATACCTTTTCAGTCTATATGCAGAACAGATCATTCAGCAGGCTTGACTTCATGAGGTAGAATGTGGCATCAGAATTGAAGGAAGACTCATCAACAACCTACATTATGCAGATGACACAACCTTGCTTGCTGAAACTAAAAAGGACCTGAAGTGCTTGCTGCAGAAGGTCAAGGACAGTAGTCTTCAATATGACCTCAACATCAATAGGACAAAGATTCTCACCATGGGCCAACGGGCAGCACATGATCGATGGAGAAGAGAGTGAGATTGTTAACAGTTACAACTTGCTCGGCTCCATGATCAACACTCTCGGCATCAGCAGTCAGGAAATCAAAAGACGGATTGCATTGGGAAAATCTGCTGTCAGGGACCTCTCCAGAGTGCTGAGAAGCAACAATGTCAGTCTAGAGACTAAGGTGTGCCTCATCCAGCCCATGGTCTTTGCAATTATTTGGTATGCATCAGAGAGCTGGACTTAAGGATGACAGAAGAATTGGTGCCTTTGAGTTGTGCTGGAGAAGAGTCTTGAACATACTATGGACTACTAAGAAAACAAATAGATGTCATGAAAAGAGTGAAAACAAGTTTCTCTGTGGAGGCAAGGATTTTGAAGTTCCGTCTTACATACTCTGGGCATGTGGCCAGGAGGGACCAGTCCTAGGAGAAGGACATCATGCTTGGAAGGGTGAAGGGACAGAACAGGAGAGGAACACCCCGGATGGTATGGACTGACACAGTAGTCAGGCGATGGAGACAGGTGTGTCAGAGTTGGTGAGACTGGCTCAGGACAGGGCAGGCTTCAGAGCAGTTGTACACAGGGCCACTGTGCGTCACAGCGTCACAGGCAACTTGATGGCACATAACGATAAGCAGCTTTGATGAAGTACAATTATTTTATATTAAAGATGCTGAAATTGTGAAATGGTGATTACATTTTATAAAAAATACTGCTCTTCAAATGGCACTATTAAAAATGAAAAGATAAGCAACTGCCTGGGAGAAAGCGTGAGCTGGGGGAGAGGTGTGCTGAGAAGGTGGAGGAGGCATGTCCAAGGGACGAAGGCTGTGGGGCGCGAGACCCCAGTGACCATGTGGGTGGGGGGCCTACAGGTACTGGGGTGGAGGACACGTGTCCCGGGGAAGGTTGAGGGCGTGAGACCCCAGTGAGCGTGTAGGTGGGGGACCTGAGGGTACTGGGGTGGAGAACGCATTCAGGAGAGAGGTAAGGCTAGATAGTTAAACGTGGAGACTAAGTATGTAAATGGCATTTACAAGCACATGTCAGGCTGCCACCACTGACTTGTGTCCCCCGAGACTGAGCCTCCACATCCTGGTCGATCAGGCACTGTCGTTCAGGGCCAGGCCATAGTGGCCCCTGAGCAGCAGAATGTGGCACCTGGCCCTGTGCTGTCCCTGCCTCTGTTGGGGCCATCACTGCTTTGTCCGTCTTTACTGACCTGTTTTCCCAGCATGACTGGCTCCTGCAAACATGCCCAAAGAAGGTGCAGCCAAGTCCCCCCGTTCCTGCCTGGAAGGCTCCTGTCCAGGAGATGCTTCTCCTCCGCCATCTTTTTTCCTGTCATTTTCTTGTGTCAGTCTGGTCTCCAGATGTTTATGTTTTGGGTTAAGATGCTGTGGAGCTTTGCTGTTGCAGTAATGATTCCACCTCTGGTGTTGGGAGCTCCTTTAGGCCATCTGGCTGCGCGAGGTGTCCAGCTCCAGTCGCGACCTTTTGGGAGCACTTCCTGCATGCACCCCAGGCGTGTGCCTCTACTCTGCCCCAGCCCTGGGATCTGGGTATCCCCGAAGCTCCGGCCTGGGCCTTTTCTCATCGTACCATGCTGCCACTGGCACTGCCCTCGGGCTGCACTGATGGGAGCCAGCAATTTGAGTGGGAGAACTCAGCTCTGGAAACCAGCAACCTCCTAAATCACATTTTCCTTTTAAAGAACCAATAAATCTAAGCTGGAAAAAATATGCAAGGAATTTTGACTGTAGATAAAGTAGCACAGGTTTGCTATGTTGTAAGCCGACCCTGGCTAGCTCAGCAGGACTGTACAAGGTTCCCAGGACAAGAACCCTGTGCTGGGCTCTGGCTCTGCCACACACCAGGCCTAGCATGGCCCATACCCGCTCTTCCCTCAGGCCTGGCAGCGGCGTGAGGAAGGCTCTTCCAGACCACCACCACTTCCTCTGTCATCCTCCCTGAGGGCGTGCTTCACCGCATTCTGCATGGCCTGTGACACTCGCCCCTCCAGGCACACGACTCCTTCCGGACAGTCCCGCACCCCTGCCATTCATTACCAGAGTGGACTGGGCCCGTCTGGCTGGGTGGTGGGTGTCCCTGCCTCCCCCACTGCTCCACGTTCATCCTCCAGAAGCTACGCTCCTTTGAAGAGGACGACGTTCCCCAACGCCTTGAAGCAGGACTCTGCTGGTCACCAGTCTGCAGGTAGCTCCACTCCCCGGCTAGGCCTTCTGAAGAAGACGTGTAAATGGCCAATAGGCACAGGGGCATTAAAAGTCATCTTGGAAATGTCAGCCAGGACCAAAAGGAGATGCCATGACACTCACGCCCAGATGTCTCAAGTCTTTTTAAACCGGTGTTCCCAAACACTGGCGTAAGAGCGGGGCCAGCTGAGCGCACGGCCTGGTGCTGGCAGTGTGACCGTTTTGTAGAACAGCACGGCGTGTGCTCTGTTACCCTCCATCACACCATCTCAGAGCTTCTGTACGAGACACATGGAAACGCCCTGAGCCCGGGGGTACCTTTCACAGCATCGTCTTAGTGAAGTCCCCAAACTGGAAAGAGCACCCGTGTCCACCAACACGTGAGTTACTGTTGTCAGGTGCAGCTGAGTCGAGTGTGATTCACAGTGACCTTGAGAAAAACAGGTCAGAACCCTCCTATCCTGTGCCAGCCTGACAATGTCCGGCACCCCGAAGCTCATCGTCCCAGTCACTGTGTCAATCCACCTGGTCAAGGGTCCTCTTCTCCCTCACTGTCCCTCCACCTTCCCAAGCATGATGTCTCTCTCCAGCGAATAGCTTCTCCTAGCAAAAGGCCCAGCGCATGAGAGATGAAGCTTTATCATCTTTGCTTCCATGACATCTTCTCCCTGATATACCTGTCTGTTCTCTGAGCCGTCCATAGGATGTTCAGTGCTCTCCTCCAACACCACAGCTCAAAGGCACCAGTTCTTCTGTCCTCCTTATTCATTCATTGTACAGCTCTCAGATGCATAGCAAGTAATTGAAAAGACCAGGACTTGGATCATATGCACCTCGGTCCTCACCCTGACATCATTGCTGCTCAGCAATTTGGAGAGGTCCTGACTGCAGACGTCTCAGTGCACCACGTGTCCTGATCCCCTGACTGCTGGTAACAAGTGATTGTGGATCCAAGTGAGGTGAGGTCGCTGACAGTCTCAGTCTTTTCTCCCTCTAGCGTGGTGTTGCCTATTGGTCCAGTGTTGAGGATATTTGTTCTCTTGACATTCAGATGCAGTCCCTAATGAAGGCTGCAGGGTTTGATCTCCTGCAGCAGGGCTTCACGTCCTCCTCACTTTGAGCAAGCAGGATTTTTGTCATCCACGTAGCGAAGGTTATTGATAAGTCTTCCTCCAGTCCCGATGCCACTTTCTTCATAGAGTCCAGCTTCTTGAATAATCTTCATACAGATTAAGTAGGTATGAAAGAAAGATACAATGATACACACACCTGTCCTAAACCATGTAGCAGTCCCTTGCTCTATTCACAAAACAGCCTCTTGGTTTAGGTGTAGATTTCACACCAGCACAACTTTTTGGGAGTTCCAACCTTTTAGGATTCCCATTCTTCTCAATGTTAGCCACAGTTTGTTATGATCCACACAGTTATATGCCTTTGCACCATCAATAAAGCACAAACAGACATTCTTCTGAAATTCTTTGCTTTCAGCCAGGATCACCTGACATCAGCAATGATATCCCTGGTGGCACGGCTTCTTCTAAATCCTGCTTGAACATCTGACAGTTCTCTGCCTCTGTGCTATCCTATTCTCAGCAGTATTTTGCTTGCATTTGATATTGATGATATTGTTCAGTAATTTCCACATTCTGTTGGATCACCTTTCTTGGGTATGGGAACAAATATGAATTTCCTCCAAGTTAGTCAGCCAGGCAATTGTCCTTCGAGTTTCTTAGCATAGACTGGTGGGCTCATCTAGAGCTGCATCTGTCATTGGAAACATTTCTACTGGTATCCCAGTAATTCCTGGGGCCTTATTTTTGCCAATGCCTTTATTGCAGCTTGGATTTCTTCCTTCGTTACCACTGGCTCATGATCATATGGTTATTTCCTGTCTGATTGTTTTTTGATAGAGTGGTTTCGTGTTCTCCCTCCATCTTTTAACGTTTTCCTGAATCATTCAAGACTTTGCCCATAGCATCCCTCCATATTACAACTCGAGGCTTGAATTGGTTTTTACTTCTCTTAGCCTGAGGGATGCCGGCAAGTTCTTCCCATTTTAGTCTCCAATTCTAGGCCTCTGCACGTACTGTTACAGCAGTTGCTTTGTCTGCCTGAGCCACCTTTTCAAATTTTCTGCTTAGCTCTTTTATTTCAGCATCTCTTCCCTTTGTTTTGGCTTCTTGACGCTTTCGTGCAGATTTCAGGGTCTCTTCTTACTCCCTTTTGGTTGTTCTTTCTCCTCTCTTTTTAGTGAAAAGTTAAACAAATGCAGATGTTGCGGGATACCCGGGTCTCACTGATGCCGACCCAGCTATAAATTGCCCAAGGAGACTGCCATCTTCCTCCTGTGGGGCAGCTGGTTTGGAGCCACAGCTGCACACAGCCTTTGGGGGCCACCAAGCTCTCACAGTGTGCTCATTACAGGGCTTCAGGGGGATCTCACTCCGCAGCTGAGACATGTTGTCAGGGAGACACCCCACCTGACCCCTGAGGCAGTGGCCCCTGGACCCTAGTGTGTGACAGGAGTGACTCTGGAATCAGGCTCCCACAGCAGAAGCCTGTCAGGGCCCCATGGTATTTGGGGTCAGAGGACACCCACCTACATGCTACTTGCCTTTAAAAAACTCATCAAACGTGTGGGTGTGACTTAAATGCCACCTTGATAAAGTCTGGTTTATACGAGCAAGGTGGGGAGACAGCAGTGGCCCCATCACAGAACCCTGACCCCAGGAAGGTTCTTGCTGAGACCTGGACCTGTGCCACAGGAACCAGAAGGGACACGCCCAGCCCGTCACAAGCGGTCACGTGCTGGGCTGCGATTCTCGGGGACCCACGCCAGCTTCCTAATTATTCCAGTTGGGATTTGGAGTGCTCCTGGGGATGTCATTACCGTGGACCAGAGGGTAGAGACTGTTCCCTCTGCAGCAAGCCAGGGCTTCCCGGAAAGGCCTCGAGGGGCCCGGACCTGGTCCCTCCATGCGGACCAGCACTGCCTCCACCCCGTGTCCCAGGCTTCCGTAGAGACGCTGAAAATAAGGCAGACCCTGGAACCTTCACAAAGCAGAGTCCACAAGGCCCTCTTCGTGGTTCATTCACTGCAAGCTGTAGGTATCAGGGGAACAGCCTCCAACCTCATGTGTGTGTGAGGAGATGATGTGGCCATCAGTCCTCCAGAGAGGGAAGGTGGACATCTGAGAGCTCGATGATGAAGAAGGAAGACAGAGAAACATCTAGGCCTTTGAGGTGTGGTGTGGAGCACTAAGCATCCCATGGACCACAAGAGAACACACAGAGAAGTCTTGGAAGAGGGGTGACCGGGGGCTCCTCAGAGGCCAGGACAGTGAGACTTCATCTCTCATATACTTTTACATCATGTTGGAAAAAGTAGACGGTCAGTGAAAGAGAGAAAGACGGGAGGATGGAGCCGCTGGAGATGGGACAGGGGGCTCGAGCTGCTGTCAGGGCCACCTTGAGTTGAAGTCGACTCCACAGTGCCAGACAGCAGCAGCATCGGACACTGGCTGTGCTGAGACCAATGCGGGCGTCCATCGGCCACTGCTGTGCTGAGACCAATGCGGGCGTCCACACACCTCGTCCCGCTGCAGGGTAATCAGTGTGTGGTCTCTAAGGAGACCTTTGATGTCTTCAGATAATGACCAGCTGCTTCTCCGCAGGGAGCCTTGGTGGCACAGTGGTTCAGCGTTTAGCTGCTAACCAGCGTTAATGGTTCGAACTCACCATCTGCTTAGGAAGTTATGGGGTCCCTGCATCCCCTCCCATAAAGACCCGTGTCAGCAGCACTTCGGGGTGTTTTGCTCCATCCTTCAGAGTTGCCATAAGACAGAAGTGGCCTCGGCAGCACTGGGTTTGGTTTGGGATTCGGTTCTCCCCTCATGACGTGTCTTCCTCATTTCTGCCCCTTTCTCCTATTGGCTGGCCTGGCCGTTCCCAGCTCGGTTGTCTCACAACTTCGTGTTTGAGAAAGCTCTTCTTCGTCAACTCAAGACACGGCCCTGCAGTCCTAATTTACTACACATTTCATTATGAACAAGGGTTTTTTAACATTTTTAAAATATTTTTTTATTTTCATATAACAATTCCTTTACATTATATTTAATTCATATGCATGTGTTTTATACAATCTTTCATTTATATTGTTTCATACAATCATTCATATACATTTTATTTTATATTATTTTTATTTTTTCATATTTTTTCTTTTTTTATTAATTTCAATGAAAGTTTACAGAGACTTAAGGTTTCCATTAACTCATTGTTGAACTTTTCTCCCTGCCCCCCCCCACCATTCACTCTTCTCCTTGAAAAGTAAAAGAAATACTCTTTCATTGTTATTCAATCCCTTCCCCCAAGTCCACTTGACTATGCAGCCTTCATTCTGGACTCCTGTCACGACAATAATACCCAATCATATATCCCTTTTTAAACAGTTCTCTTGCTCATCTGTTTCAATGCAGTATACATCATTCCTCCTCTCCTTCTGTCTTCCCTCAACCCCGATGTCAGTCCCATTTTACAACAGTGGCATTATGCAACATTTGTCCCCCTGTGACTGAGATATTTCCCTCAGCACAATGTCCTCCAGGGTCACCCATTCTGTATAATATTTCATGAGTTCCCTGCCTTCCAATGCTGCATAACATTCCACTGCGTGAACACACCACAGCTTCTCCATACATTCACCTGTCGAGGGGCACCTGGGTTGCTTCCAGCTCCCAACCACTGCGAATGAAGCCACAATATACATGGGTATGCATATATTTATCTTTTGGGTGGCGGTTATGTTTTCTTTAGGGTAAATTCCCAGTAGTGGAATTGTTGGATCAAATGATATTTCTATTTCCAACCTTTTGAGACAGCACCATACTGCCTTCCATAGTGGTTGCACCATTTTGCACTCCCACCAATGGTGAATAAGAGTTCCAGTTTCTCCACAACCTCGCCAGCATTTGATATTTGCTGTTCTGTTAAGTTTTGTTATTCTTCCTGGGATGAGATGATATCTTATAGTTGTTTTGATTTGGATCTCTTTTAGAGCTAGGGATTTTGAACATTTCTCCATGTGTTTGTTTGCCATCTGAATGTCTTCTTTGGCTAAGTGTCTGTTCATATCCTGTGCCCATCCTTCAACTGGGTTATCTTTACCTTTTTGTTGTGCTGGAGTGTTTTATAAATCCTTGATAGAAGTCCCTTATCTGACATGTCATTACCAAGTATTTTTTCCCAATCTGTGACTTCCCTTTTTACCCTGTTGGAGAAGTTTTTGGATGTGCTATTTTTACATTATTTTTTAACTTTTTTTGTTTTTTTAAATACTGGATTATTCTTGTCACTTGTTGCCAACCAGCCTTGTCTGATCCAAGAATCAGGGAACTTCTGCCTCAGAAAGTCAGACAGGCTGCCTGCTTTTCTGAAAAGGCTGGGTGGGCCTGGCATTGATGGTCCCTCAGGATCTGGTCCCATCACGGCATCAGGCTGGCCTTCTGGGAGGGGTGTGTGATGGCCGCCACCAGAAACTTGAGGCACTGTAGTGTGCGTGTGTGTTTCTTATAGAGACTTTCCATGTCATCCAGGCATTTCTACCTCCTGGTAAATTTTTTGAGGTGCTTTCTAATCACTCTGTCATGCGGTTGCTATTATTTCTGGGATCCAGGTGGTGCAGTGTTAAAACGCTTGACTCAACTGAAAGGTGAGCTGTTTGAACCCACCAGCCGCTCTGCAGGAGAAGACGTGTCTGCCTGCTGCCAGGACCATCTAGGCCTTGGTAGCCCAGTGGGCAGTCCACCCGGGTCTGCAGGGCCGCTGGAACAGGGACTCTAGCAGGGGCTTGGTGTGAACTGGCCATGACTGGGCTGGGCCCCCAAGGAGCACATACAACCTCTGTCCACCAGGCACCACAGGCTCTGGAGGCATGTGAGTGTGCCAGACTGCTGACCCCACAGCTGGCGGTTTGAATCCACCAGCCCCTCCACGACCCTGAGATGGACAGTCTCCTCCCATAAAGGGGACCCATGGAAAGGCCAGCATGAGTTGGGATCAACTCAACCGCAATGGAGGAGATTCAGACCTCAAAGCTGGCAGTTCAAGTCCACCCTTTGGCTCTACTCAGGCCCCTCTTCAGCAACCTAGGGACATGGCCAAGAAAATGCTGAGAACCAGCCCCTCCTGTGACGCTGAGTGCCAACCATGTCTGGGCCCTCCCCCCCTTTCCCCCGGCCCCAGGTCTGGGCCCTTCACCCCCTTCCCATGGGACGTCGTCCTGCTCGTCCCTCGAGCCTGGGGTTCGGCCTGTGCCTCTGGTGGGTCTTTCTCCACCTGAGCTTTGACACCCTGTTCGCCAGGCTCCGTCTCCATGTCACCTGCTCATCTCATACCTCTGGGGACCAGAGAGCCTGGCAGCCAGCCTTCAGTGTCCAGGGTCCCCGCTGCAGTTTCCCCACATGCCAGGCCATTCCTGGGTGCACCCCACAGACAGGTGGTAATGTCACCACTCGGCATCAGGGTTGAGCAAGGAGGGTCCTACTGTGACTACTCTGTGTGGACATGGCCTGCCTTGCACCCAGTGTGGGCTGGCTGCTTGCACACATGGCCCCTTGTCCCCTCACGTGTGACGTGGCCCACAGGCCAGGCCTCACTTGGCCTGGTCGGGCCGGCTGTGTCCACATCTGTGGATTACAGAGGCGGCATCCAGCGTGGTCTGTGTGGGCTGCAGAGATGCACACCACCAAGGATGGGTCCATTTCTGCCCGCAGCTCTGCTGGTTACCTGATACCATCTCAAGGCTTTCTTTCAAAACACACAGTCTTTCTGCACCTCCTACGACAGACACCTTTCACCTAATTCTCTGTGGCTTGGCCCTGCTGTCTCTTCCCTTTTCACGTGTGTGTGTGTGTGTGTGTGTGTGTCTGTGTGTGTGTGTGAAATATGTCCCTCATACACACCTGCGTTCAGTGTGCTGAGTGTGACCTCAGGGGCCCCAGGCTCCGTCCATGCAGGACCCCCCAGACCCCAGGCTCCATCCATGCAGGAGACCCCAGGCTCCAGGCTCCATCCATGCAGGAGACCCCAGACCCCAGGCTCCATCCATGCAGGAGACCCCAGGCTCTAGGCTCCATCCATGCAGGAGACCCCAGGCTCCGTCCATGCAGGAGACCCCAGGCTCCGTCCATGCAGGAGACCCTGTTCTCCACACACCTGCACCCTCAGGCAGGTGTGCTTCAGCCTGCCTCCCACGGCAGGCACAAGCCTCCCTCAGCCATCACCACGTTCAGCCTCTGGCCTGGCCCCAGTGACCTGGCAGCCAGATCTCGCTCACAGAGGTACCAGACTTGCAGGAGTGCCCTTGGTTAAGTGCTTAGAAGCTGGGCTGTCAGGCGGGAAGGAGGCTTCCTCCAGGGACCACAAGGACAGGCAGCCTGTCCCCTCAACTTGGGGCCTCCATGGTGTGTGTCCAGCACCACCACACACAGACATGCAGGCTCTGAGAGGCCCCTCCTCCGAGTCAGCCCTTTCCTCTCCCCCTGAGCTCTGGTCACCCCACTGGCCAGCCAAGGAGACAGATGGCTCCATCAAGACATTCTGTCCACTCAGGGTGGCCCCTCTGATGCCCGGGGCAGGGCCAAGGCTGAGGTGGTAACAATGTCTGTCGGAGGTGGAGAGGGCCTCTGACCATGGTCAGACCCATCAGCTGGGTCACTCAGCCCACACAAGCAGCCCCTGGCCGGGTCCTGGTCTGGTTCTCTGAGGTCACCATACTTGCTCTCAGTTGAGCCTAGGGAACACCCCCATGAGCCCTGTCACCACGGTCACCGGAGGCTCCTACCCCACAGGCCTCCCTGGAGACAGCCTGGAGCCTCCCTGCCTGGGCACCAGGCCCCCACGGCAGGACCTGGATGGAGCCCTGGCCTCTTCTCAGAGTGTGCTGCGAATCTGATCATGCTGGTCTGGTTCTTGGGCTCAAGTCCCCATGAACAGAAGACCAACAAGATCCCATGTCACTGACAGTGTCCTCTGCCTCTCAGACCACTGGAGGCCAGCCTCAGGGCACCACACTCCTGCAAGCCACCTTAGGCCTCCCACCACAGGACCTGTGCCCAGGAAATCACACCGGTCACCCTTCTGTCCTCAGGTGGCATATAATAGGGGCCAGCACAGACTCAGAGCCCTCCCACTCCAGGCCAGTCATCATCCCCCATCTCGAGGCCAAGTAGTTTGCATGGGCAACACGGGGGTCAGAGGTCTGCTTGGCAGACCAAGGATAGTTCTAGAAGAAACAAGATAGAGTGGGAGTGTTAGTAGGGAGATACTGTGTCTCAGGAGCCTTGAGATCAAAACCTGGCCCTGGACACCCTCTCACAAGGATCTGGAATAAGGGGCTGAGGGTGGGGTGAGGAGGAGGAGGAAGGGGAGGAGACTGCCCTCTCCTCACCCCCAGTGTCCTGCACACTTGGGGCCTGAGGCACAGCAGGCCTGAAACTGGGAGCCAGCTACCTGGCCTGCGCACCCCTCAGAAGCCAGGACCACTCCCAGAGTGAGCCCACAGTGCGGTGTGTGGCCCCATGTGGGGCCTCCTGTTCACGTGCAGGAGGAAGGCCCACCCAGAGTGGGAGGGGCCCCCGTGTCCCAGGACAGGCCAAGGGAACCCCAGGAATACACCTGAGTCTGGGTGCCCCTTGAGGTAGATGAGCTCAAAACCCAAAAACACAGTGCCCAGAGGATTGGCCCCCCAGCCTGCCAGTCCACAGACACCATGCACCCATTTGGCCCCCCCGCCTGAGTGGAGTGAGCTGAGACTGCTCAGCAGGGAGCAAGCCATTGTCCACTCAGGACCAGGACCTGTGGGCTGAGGTGTTCATCAGAGCCCCAGGCAGGTAGCACAGGTGCCAGGTGGAAAGGGGCCCAGGACCTGAGAGCACAGTGACCAGTGATTCCCTGGGGCAGAGCTGTGGAGCTGTGGGTCCTGGGCCAGGACCACAGGGCTGCCCTGGGGCTGGCTCACCAAGGGCCATCAAGAGCATCACCCCGGGAATTGACTGAGGGGCCTGCGTCTGAGGTCCTCGGATCCCTGGTCTGAGGGGTCCAGGACTGAGGGTCCCTGGTCTAAGGTCATCAGGTCTGAAGGGCCCTGGGTCTGAGGGTCTCAGGTCTCAGGTCTGAGGGGCCCCCGAGTCTGAGGTCTGAGGGTCCCAAGTCAGAATGGTCAGAACAAAGCTGGTCCAGGAGAAAAGCTATCGTGTGCGATGGGTGGGAGCGTAGGTTCCCTGTGAAGCCTGGAGGAGCCTGGGGTCTCTTGGGGAGGAATTGGAGATGTAGAGAATAGGAGGCATTAGATCCTCTGAGGGGTACGGGGTTGTAGGAGCCCCAGGACCCTGCCCTCCTGTCTGGGACATCAGGTCCCCTGGCCTCCTGCCTCACTGGGTCCACGGGGCACCAGGGCACTGCTTGGTGAGACCACAGGGTGTATCCAGCCGGGGTTGGGACCGGTGGGCCTAGGCCAGGCCAGGCCTTGGAGTTTGGGACTAGTCTAATGCTGCCCACAAGACATAGACCCATCCTGGTCACTTAGATATCATGCTGGCCCGGTATGGCTGTCCACACACTGCTTGTGTGCCCAGCTGACCTGGCCTCAACCTGACCTTTGTCCTCTGGGGAACCCTTTTGATTACCCATCAACTGCCTGCCCAGTGTGACAACGCCCGGCCGCTCCTGCCAGCATGTTGCCAGGTGCCAGTGAAACCCATCTGTGGCCTGACTCTGGACCCTGTGCCCTGCACGGGACCTCAAGGGGCCTCGGCCTTGACTGCAAACCCAAGAGGGCATCCTGAGTGTCCTAAAGCCCCAAGCCCAGGCCCCCAGGCTGGCTGGGACACAGCTGCCCATTGCTGCATGGTCAGTGTGCTTTGTGTATTCATGACCGGGCACGTCTTCATCCCCAGCGCTGGGAGGACAGGGCCAGCCTTCACTGAAGCCAGGAGTGGCCTGGGAGCTCTATATTGTCCTTATTACAGAGGTAGCCGGGCGCTGCTCTTGGCCACATGGAGCCCTGCTGCCAGCCAGCAGCAAGTGGGCCTCGATGGGCCAGGTAGGCAAAGGGTGGGAGGAGGCAGAGAGGCAGGAGGAGGGAGAGAGAGAGAACAAGGCTCATACGCTCAAGGTGTGACAGCCAGAGAGACCTGTCCAGAGATGTGGCCACCCGTCAACCATTAACCAGGGCCCGAGAGACCTGAACAGCTGGGTGCAGAGCAGACACAGGCCAGTGTGGCCCTGGGAGGACACAGAGGTGGGCCTCCAGCTTGACCTGGCCAGCACGGCCTTCCTGCATGTGTGTGGAAGCCATCCAGCTTCCAGCTAAGCGTGCATCTCCTCTTTCCGCAGCAGAACAGCCGGTACCTAAGGCCACCATCAGCTTGGGCCACTCCCAGAGCCACACAAGCCACGGGAAGGTGGCCATTGAAGGGAAGAAGGTAGACGCCCAGCCCAAGCCCAGGCCCACCAGACTGCCTCGCTCTGTGAAGCCCAGAGGTCACAGCCAACCACCTCGGGTCCGTAACTACAATTTGAAGGACTGACCCTTGAGCCAGCCCCCTTCCTTGGCTCTGACCTGGGTGCTTGGGGTCTGCTTTCCCAAGTCACCAATGGGGGCACCAATCAAGATACTGCAGACTATGGACATGAACTGGGCAATAAGCACCAATAAAGCGCCCACAGAAAACCTGAGGGAGGGCTGTTTGTCCTCCTTGAGAAATGGCAACGTGGAGGTGTGTTCATGCATGTGTGCACGTGTGTGTGAACTCAGCCATATAGCCTCTACCACATCACCACTCACACGTCCACATGCCAAATATTTCTGAGCCAGTGGCTGCGTCAGGTCAAGGGCCATCAAAACAAAAGTGGCGACACCTTCCCATCCACCCCTGTGGTCAGTGGTGAGCCCATCATCTGGCTGCCCAGGGCTGGTGTACACATGGACACTCCCAGCCTTTTGTCCCCACAAACGTACAGAACACTCCTCTCCCCAGGAGGACACCTATCCAGGAGCCCTAATGACACGTGCCAGCACATCCACTGCTCCCTGGGGCCAGCACTGGGCACTGCCCAGGAGCACTCTCTCTGTCCTCACCACCTGGGCCTGGCCTTGGGCAGGCTCACTGGGCACTCCTTCCAGGCCCAGACTTCCTACAGAGGCCTGTGGTGTGCACTGGGTTCCGGGCTCCCAACTGTAAGACGTGGCTCCGCTCCCAGGCAGACCCTGCCACCAGTCATCAAGCTCAGGGCAGAGGGGACCAGGCCGGGCTCCATCCTGCAGGCCCAGGCACTCGCTTCACCCGACGTTGGCTGTCTGCCTGCCTTGGGGAGCCCAGTGGGAATAGGCCTCACCCTCAGGACGTGAACACTACCTGCAGAGATAGGTTCACCCCGGAATGTGTGGAGTGTGGGCGGGGATGGGCTCCCCCCCAGGATGTGGGCACCAGAGGTGGACAGGTGTGCCGCAGGCTGCCCAGACACTTCAGTCCTCACACAGCGTGGGCACGGCTCTGCTGGGCAGGCAGGTGGTGCTGCTTGGCTCCATGGGTGTCTGGCGGCCTGCCTCCACAGGTGTGGCAGTTCCCAGGTGGACCATGTCCTGCAGCAGGCAGAGCCACGCGGCAAGGCCCCAGCCCTGCCCAGAACACAAAACCAAAGACCCCTGCCCTTGGATGGGCTCTCCCAGGGCCTGCAGAGTCCCATGGCTGCAGACCTTTACAGGAGCTCTGGCGGCCTAGTTTGCAGAGAGCTGCACTTCCAACCTAGACGTGCTATCTCTGGTGGTTCAAATCCACCCGCAGCTCTGGGAGAAAGATGGGCCAGCTGCCCCGCGTGACTTCCTGCCCGGGAAACCCAGCGGAGTCAGCTGCGAGGGACAGATCCAGGCAGCGAGTGCACTGGAGTCTGAAATCTCTGCAGGCGGGCGGGGGCGGAGGGCAGGCTCAGGCTGCCAACTTGGTTAGCCGTCGCACACTTCACTCTTGCCCAGAGGGCTCGTTCCCAGAACGGGCACCGGCCAGGAGGGGCCCCTCTCCTGGGCAACCTGAGCCCCCACCTGGGCACTCTCGCCGGCAGCGGGCCGTCTGCCCTCCGCTTCTTGAGACGGTGCCGCAGGAGTTACTGTGAGGGGGTGTGTGTGCTGTGAGTACGCTCGCGCACGTGGAGAAAATGGGCGGCCAGGCCGGCTCCTTTGTCCACTGCACAGGAAGCGAGCCTGTGGGTCGCCCGGCTGGCCCCTCTCCTCTGCCGGCCTCCAGGGAGCGACAGCTGGACAGGGGCGACGGATCTGCAGCGGCGGGAGGGCCAGAAGCCCCGCATTGAAGCCGCACCGCGGTGACCGGCAGTAACCCCGCTCGGGGCGCCCTCGGCCAGGTCAATGACCGCGCTCGCGCCGCGGGGCCCGCGCTCGCTCTGCGCACCCCCTCCCCGGCCCATCACCCTATCGCCTAGCAACGCCCCCTCGCGCGCCGTCATTGGACCAGCTAGCACGCCCCCGGCTCCCTATTGGCCGGGATGGAGACCCGGGCCACGCCCCGGCTCTGAGCAGCCAGCCGCGTGGAGCCCGGAGGCAAGCTCTTGTATGGGTCGGTCCCCGGTCACCCCTGCACACCCACGCCCCACTGCGCCCCACAGTGACCCCAGTGTGGCCCAAGTGCACCCAGCCCCCAAGAACCGCCCCCGCGGCGCCCGCGCACATGCAGCGGCAGACACGCGGGTGGACAGGGCGCGGGACGGGTCCGGCGCCCCAGGAGGATGCGGGCCGTGGGGGCGGGGACGGAAGTCGGGGGGCGGGGGACCAGACGCGTGTCCCCGCCCCCCCGGTGGCTCGCCCCTTGTCCCCAAGGACCCCCCCCAGCTGGCCCCCGTCCGTGCGCGTCCCCGAGCAGGGTCCCGGCGGCGGCGCGCACGGGGATCACCCCACTCTCCGCGGTGCGCCGGGCCCTGGGGCGCAGCCCCGACGCTCATTGGCCTGGGCGGCGCAGCCAAGCTGTCAGCCCATGTGGCGTGGCCGCCCGGGGATGGCCGCAGTTTAAATAGCGTCGGCGCCGAGCTAGAGGGAGCCAGAGAGAAAGGCGCCGCGGCCTCTGCTCCGCCCGCCTCCGCGCTCCATCCTTCCCTCCGCGCCGCCGCCGAGCGCTCGCCGCCCGCACCCGCCGCACCCGCCGCCCCGCAGGTACGAGCGGTCGGGCCCCGGGAAGGCCGGGCCCCAGGCGGAGCCGGGGATGGGGCCGCGCCGGGGGCTGGGGAAACCACGAGGCTGAGCGGTTGGGGACGGGGCTTGAGGACCACGAGGTTGGGGACAGAGCTGGGGCTGGGGGCCCACGAGGCAGGGAGGGCGGGCGTGCTCCACGAGGTTGGGGGGCCAGGACCGGCGGAATGGTGAAACCCCAAAGCCGGTGAGTTTCCGTGCCAGGACCACAGGGCCCGAGGCGGGAGGGGAGGACGCAGCTTGGACCTGGCGGGGGGCACCTCTAGGCCCAGGCAGGAGATCGAACGCGATCAGAGCCTGGCTGGGCCTAGTTGGGGGGGATGATGGAGCTGGGGTTGTGGAACCTCCAGGTTGGGGGTTCGGATACAGAGCCGGGACCAAGGAGATGATGCGGTTGGGCTAAAGGACTTCGGGTCGGGGCCTCCGCGGAAACGCTGCCATTCCTCTGGTCCGGCCGCCAGACTGCTCTTATCGGACCGCGGGGGGCCCCTGGCCGACGACCCCCTCGCCGGCCGGGGCAGGTGACCGGCGCTGGGGAGGGAGGGGCGCAGGCGCACGCCGGGCAGGCCACGAACAGCCATCTTGGCGGGAGCAGGCCGGGCGCCCAGGACCCCCGGGGATGGAGGATCCCCCCGGCACCGCTCCCTCAGGCACACCGAGACCCTCGCTGGGGGGTGGGGGCGTCATTTCCGAATCGGCTGGGGCTGGGGGAGGGTCCTATCATGTGAGCGCAGCTCCAGACGCGACCGCCCCCTCCCCACCCCGCCCCCACCTCGGCCGGTGCTTGTGGACTTCCCGCCCCTGCGCCTGGGGAGGGGCCGGCGCCCGGATCCCACCCTCCGGCCGGAGCCACCCGGCTTGAATAGCAAGTCGCCGCTCGGCCACTCGCGGCCCTGGGCAGACTTGGCCCTGGACCCGGGGTGGGGGATGCCCTGGGGGCGCTTGGCCACCCCTGTCCCTTCGCCGCCCTGGGAAAGACCCCGGGTGGGGGCGGGGTGAGGACGGGTTGGGGGTGGGGCGGACGTTGGCTGTGGGCTCCTCTAAGGAAGGCGCAGGGCCACCCCTGGGCTTGTCCCCTCCTGAGTGGCCCACTTGGCAAACCCCACTTTCTTAGATCCTATCTTGGGGCTGGCAGGCATTGACGGGCAGGGGACTGGCCTACAGCCTCGGTGTCAGTGGACCCAGCTAGAGGGGCCGGACTGGCTGGGTCAGTCTCAGTGGGGGCAGAAGCCTCCTGTCCCCCACGGGCCTGAGGGTTTGGTACCCTGCCAGTTCCTTTCAGGCTCCGGGTGCTTACCCAGGCAGAAGGCACAGGCGTGGGCAGCCCAAGGGTTGGTTCGGTTGAGCCCAGCCCCAGGGCAGCCCCTTGCCGCACTTGGTCAGGAGCTGCGGCCCAGGGGAACAGCGGTGGTGGCCTCTGCACCCCTCACAGGTCCCTCAGCCTAGAATCGCCAGCTCTTTGATCAGCAGCCCCGTCCCCATTCTGAAACCGCCGGTGGCCCTTGGGCTGGCGCGTGTGGATAGTCACTGAAGCAGAGGCGGGTGGCCTGGGCTCAGCAGGTGGGGTGGGCAGCCGGTTCTTGCCAGCCCTCACGTGTGTCCCTCCCAACCTCAGACGGAGTCATGGAGGACGTGGTCATAGCTGGCATGTCCGGGAAACTCCCGGAGTCTGAGAACATTCAGGAATTCTGGGACAACCTGATCGGTGGTGTGGACATGGTGACAGAGGATGACCGGAGGTGGAAGGCCGGTGAGTGGGCAGCCAGGTGGCAGGGCTGCCAGATCCCCAAGCGAGGCGAGCCGGAGTGGAGGTGGCCTCCCGGCGGCTAGCCTGACCCAGATGTCCCAACCGTCAGATAAGACTCGCAGGCCCACTTTCAGGAAGCCAGCTGACTCACCCCACCCCAGTCGAGTGGCTTTACCTGATCTGCAGGTGTGAGTCAGCTCAGCAGAGCGGGAGTGGCAGGCCAGTGGGGGGTCTCTGGCCAGCTTGGGAGTGCCTGCCCCTCTGGGGGTCACTCCAGGGGCCCAAGGTGGCCCAGAGGGGCTGTGAGGGTTCTGATGCCCACAGACCTCATGGAGTTCTCCCTACCTGGCCTTGTCCTCCCTGGCTGGGACCTGGGTCCTGGACCCTGACCTCTTGGGACCCTGGACCTGCCTGGAGGAATAACCTGTGCGTCCCCTCCCCACCAGGGCTCTACGGCCTCCCCCGGCGGTCCGGGAAGCTCAAGGACCTGTCCAAGTTCGACGCCTCCTTCTTTGGCGTCCACCCCAAGCAAGCGCACACCATGGATCCCCAGCTCCGGCTGCTGTTAGAGGTCACATACGAGGCCATGGTGGATGCAGGTGGGCAGCTCAGCGGGAGATGCAGGGGTGAGGTGCCTTGTACACTCGGTGTCCTTCCTCACCGTATCAGCAGAGGCAGGGAGAGCACACAGGCTGCCGGAGCAGGAGTGTCCTTCCCTCGTGTGGCCCCACCTGTGGCTTTGTGCTCTCTGCCCTACAAGGGGCTAGGGCTGGTTTGGACGGGACTTCGAGGAGGAGGGCTGCAGCTCCTTCCTGTTTGGTGCTGTCCTCTCAGCCCCAGGGGCGTGGCAGGGCCCCTCCCCAGGGCCCAGGCGGCCTGGCCTGATCCTGGACACTCAGCCTTTGTCTCTCTGGCTTACCGGCCCTCAGCACTGCCCTTGCAGTTCGGTGCTCATTGGCCGGCAGGTCCTCCCGACCAGGCCTGTGGCCCCTTGGTCACTAGCACCCTTCCTCTGAGGCCCGTCCCCACCCAAGGCCTGCAGCCCACTCACACCTGCTCCCTTCCATGGCTGGGTGGTGGGTGTGCGTGCTGGGCACTGTCCAGCTTTGTGGGGCCTGACCTCAGCTTCCGACAGGCATCAACCCAGGCTCGCTGCGTGGTACCAGTACTGGAGTCTGGGTGGGTGTGAGCGGCTCCGAGGCATCTGAGGCCCTGAGCCGGGACCCCGAGACCCTCCTGGGCTACAGCATGGTGGGCTGCCAGAGGGCCATGATGGCCAACCGCTTGTCCTTCTTCTTTGACTTCACGGGTGAGTGGCTGCCGCACGGGGCTGTGGAGCCGGACCCTGGGACACCTGGGGGCTCAGCGGCCATCGGTGTTGGGCCCGGCTTGGTGCTCACAGCCCCTCCCTGCAGGGCCCAGCATTGCCCTGGACACGGCCTGCTCGTCCAGCCTGCTGGCCCTGGAGAGCGCCTTCCAGGCTATCCGCAGCGGGAAGTGCCCAGCGGCCATCGTGGGCGGCATCAATCTTCTGCTCAAGCCCAACACCTCTGTGCAGTTTCAGAAGCTGGGCATGCTGAGCCCTGACGGTGCCTGCAAATCCTTCGACGAGGCTGGTGGGTACCATGGCACCAGCCAGGCGGGCAGCGGGAGCAGTACGGGGCATAGGCACTAGCCAGGACGGGCTGCAGGGCAGCACGGGGCGATGTCTGGGCCTCTGAGGTCCCTCTGCACCCGCACAGGGAATGGCTACTGTCGCTCGGAGGCTGTGGTGGTTGTCCTGCTCACCAAGAGGTCGCTGGCCAAGAGGGTGTACGCCACCATCCTCAACGCGGGCACCAACACAGACGGTTACAAGGAGCAAGGTAGGCTGGGGCCAGTGGGGCCGGGGGCAGCGGGACCCCTGCGCTCTGAGACCACGGTACGAGGGCCTTCTTCCTAGGTGTGACCTTCCCCTCCGGAGAGGCTCAGGAACGCCTCATCCGCTCACTGTACGAGCCAGCCGGCTTGGCTCCCGAGTCCCTGGAGTACATCGAAGCCCACGGCACGGGCACCAAGGTGAGCCTCTGCGCCGGCCTGCCCCACGCAGCCCTGTGGAGGCAGCGGGCAGCCCTGTGACTCTGTGTCCTCTGCAGGTGGGCGACCCCCAGGAGCTGAACAGCATCACCAGAGCCTTGTGCTCCTCCCGCCAGAGCCCACTGCTGATCGGGTCCACTAAGTCCAACATGGGTCACCCTGAACCTGCGTCGGGGCTCGCGGCCCTGATCAAGGTGGGCTGTGGGGCCGGGGAAGGGACGGCCTGCCCATCCCAAGCCTGCTGACCGTGGTGGGCAGAGCCATGGCACAGGCTCCTGGAGGGACCACCCACAGCCCGCCAGCAACCTCGCTGGAGAGGGGACAGGCGCTGGGCGCATGGGCAGCCCAGGTCCTGTGTCCTGCAGGCCTTGTGTGTGGTCACAGCTGCCAGGGCCCTGCCTGTGACTTGGGATGAGGTGGGCTGAGCTGACCCCTCACTCTCATCCTGGCCACCCGCAGGTGCTGCTGTCCCTCGAGCATGGAGTGTGGGCCCCTAACCTGCACTTCCACACCCCTAACCCCGATATCCCAGCCCTGCGGGATGGGCGGCTGCAGGTGGTGGACCAGCCTCTTCCCGTCAGGGGTGGCAACGTGGGCATCAACTCCTTCGGCTTCGGGGGCTCCAACGTGCACATCATCCTGCAGCCCAACCCTGTACAGCCCCCCACATCTGCCCCGCCCACCCTGCCCTGGCTGCTGCAGGCCAGCGGACGCACACCCGAGGCGGTCCAGAGGCTGCTGGACCAGGGCCGGGCGCACAGCCAGAACCTGGCCTTCCTTAGCATGCTCAACGCGATCGCCACCACCCCCACCACCTCCATGCCTTTCCGCGGCTACGCCGTGCTTGGCGGCCAGGACGGCGCCCGTGATGTGCAGCAGGTGCCAGTCGGTGGCCGCCAGCTCTGGTTCATCTGCTCCGGTGAGCACCTCTGTCCTGACCGCCGGCCCCCGCGGGCTCGGGCACATGGTGGCGCGGGGTAGAGCAGAGCAGGCCCCGGCCTGGCCCTGACCGCTGGCCCCCTGCAGGCATGGGCACGCAGTGGCGCGGGATGGGGCTGAGCCTCATGCGTCTGGACAGCTTCCGAGAGTCCATCCTGCGCTCGGACGAAGCCGTGAAGCCGTTCGGGCTGAAGGTGTCGGAGCTGCTGCTGCACACAGACGAGAGCACGTTCGATGACATCGTTAACGCCTTCGTCAGCCTCACAGCCATCCAGGTGTGCGGCCCTGAGGACCAGGGTGGGCCCCGAGTGCTGCCTGGGGGTGAGGGCCACAGGGAGCCCCGGGTGCTAGAGCTTCAGGTCCCAGAATGCGCCCGGTGTGGGGTGTGGGGCCATACGGGGCAAGGGAAGCGCCTGGCCAGCTCCCTGTTTCTCGTTCCCAGATCGCGCTCCTTGACTTGCTGATGGCCATGGGTCTGCGTCCAGATGGTATCATCGGACACTCGCTGGGTGAGGTGGCCTGCGGCTATGCCGACGGCTGCCTGACCCAGGAGGAGGCAGTGCTGATGGCCTACTGGAGGGGCCAGTGCATCAAGGAGTCGGACATCCCGCCGGGCGCCATGGCCGCTGTGGGTGCGTGTCTGCCTAGGGTGCTGCCTGGATGTCCATGGGGAGAGGGCCAGGGCTGTGGACTTGGCCTGCCACGCACAGGGGTGTTATCATGGGGCTCCAGACAGAGTAGTTCAGTGGGGTTCAGGGAGCCTGTCAAGGAGGCGGGTGTCATTTCCATGGTCATTCCTCCCCCCCACTACAGGCCTGTCCTGGGCCGAGTGCAAGCAGCGCTGCCCCCCTGGCGTCGTGCCCGCCTGCCACAACTCTGAAGACACGGTCACCATCTCGGGGCCTCAGGTGAGCTCCCCAGCCCCTGGGGTGTCCGGGGGCCCTGGGGCACTGCTGCCCGCGGGTGCTGGGCTCACCTGGGTGACCATCTCTGCAGGCGGCCGTGGCTGAGTTTGTGGAGCAGCTCAAGCAGGAGGGTGTGTTCGCTAAGGAGGTGCGCACGGGCGGCATGGCCTTCCACTCGTACTTCATGGAGTCCATCGCGCCCACGCTGCTGGAGGCCCTCAGAAAGGTGGGAGCCGGCCGCCTGGCGTGGCTGGGGGTGCAGGTCTCCTGAGGGCTGGTGGGGGCTGCCTGTGTGGAGTAGGGGCCCACTGCTGAGTCGATGGTGTTGTGTCGGCATCACAGGTCATCCGGCAGCCGCAGCCGCGCTCCCCCCGCTGGCTCAGCACGTCCATCCCCGAGGCCGAGTGGCAGGGCAGCCTGGCGCGCACCGCGTCTGCCGAGTACAGCGTCAACAACCTCGTGAGCCCCGTGCTGTTCCAGGAGGCGCTGCGCCACATCCCTGAGAACTCTGTGGTCCTGGAGATAGCACCCCATGGCCTGCTGCAGGTGAGGGAGCAGGGCTGCGGGGGACGGGAGAGGGGATGGGAGAGGGAGGAGGGCTGGGGGGACGGGACAGGGAGGAGGGCTGGGGCAAAAGACAGGAGGATGAGGCAACCAGGGGCAGGAGCAGGGAGCCTTGAGGGGCGCCCTCTGGTAGGGGAGCAGGTGTGTGCAGCCAGCTGCGGTCTCCCCTCAGGCTGTGCTGAAACGAGGCCTCAAGTCCAGCTGCACCATCGTCCCCCTCATGAAGAAGGACCACAGGGACAACCTGGAGTTCTTCCTCACCAACGTGGGCAAGCTGCACCTCTCGGGGTGAGGCTGACCCACTGACGGCCCCCACAGGGCGGGATCTCGCTTGGGGCTGGAGTCCCCCAGGGCAGGGCCCCCACGCTGCAGGTCCTCCCCTGGGAGTGCTGCATTCTGCAGGTCCACACAGGTGCCGGGTCCTCCACTCAGCCCAGGAGGTGACCATGGGGTTTGTGTGTGAGAGCTCAGCTCACTAACTGGGGTCCCCTGGGCAAGGTACTTGTGGGGTCTTGATGGAAAGGTCCTGGGCCTGTGGCTCCCAGTGCCCCACTGTGTTCTCACGGGTCCCCCCTCCTCCAGCATTGACGTCAACCCCTGCGGCCTCTTCGCACCAGTGGCGTTCCCAGCCCCCCGGGGCACCCCGCTCGTCTCCCCCCTCATCGAATGGGACCACAGCCAGACCTGGGACGTCCCTGCTGCAGAGCACTTTCCCAGCGGCTCCAGCTCCTCCTCTGCTACGATTTATAACATCGGTGCGGCCGGGAGGACCAGGCGGGCCGGGAGGGAGGCGGGCAGCGAGGAGCGGGCCAGGCAGGTGGGTAGTGAGTGGCGGCTAAGGCCATGTTTGCTGCAGACACCAGCCCCGAGTCCCCTGACCACTACCTGCTGGACCACTGCATCGATGGGCGTGTCCTCTTCCCTGCCACCGGCTACCTCTGCCTGGTCTGGAAGACGCTGGCCCGCGCCCTGGGCCTGGTCATGGAGCAGATGCCTGTGGTATTTGAAGACGTAACCCTGCACCAGGCCACCATCATACCTAAGACAGGTGAGGTGGAGAGCGAGGGGCTGAGAGGACGTGGCCGGGGGTGAGGCTGTGCTGACCACTCTCCATTCCCTGCAGGCACTGTGTCCCTGGAGGTGCGGCTCCTGGAGGCCTCGTGCGCCTTCGAGGTGTCTGAGAATGGCAACCTCATTGTGAGCGGTGAGCAGCACTGGCTGGAGATGTGCACGGGGGCTGCCACGGGGTGAGGGGGTGAGGGGATGGGCCTGGTGCTGAGTGGCTGCGGCCCTAAGACCACCTCCCACTGGACACACGCAGGAAAGGTGTCCCAGTGGGAGAACCCTGACCCCAGGCTCTTCGACAACCATGACGGCCTGGCCACCGCTGACCCCCAAGCCACATTCCGCCTGACGCAGGGTGACGTGTACAAGAAGCTGCGGCTGTCTGGCTATGACTACGGCCCCTATTTCCAGGGCATCCTGGAGACCAGTCTTGAAGGTAAGTCAGCGTGGACGCTGACCACGACCCCTGGTCACAGGGAGCCAGGCCAGTGGGCAAGCATGACACTCCTCCCCGCAGGTACTTCAGGCAAGCTGCGGTGGAACAACAACTGGATCACCTTCCTGGACGCCATGCTGCAGATGGTGGTCCTGGGCCCCAGCCAGCGCACCCTGCTTCTGCCCACCCGGATTGGCGCCCTCCACATTGACCCAGCCACCCACCTGAAGAGGCTGAAGGATGAGGCCCAAGGTAGCCCTGCGTCCACACCGCCGCCGCCCCTCACTGCCCCCTGGCAGTGCCCTCACCACCCTGTCCCCGACAGCGGTCGACGTGGTGGTGAACCACTCCCTGAGCCGTACAGTGGCAGGCGGAGCCCTCTTCTCGTGGCTGCACACCTCCATGGCCCCTCGGCGCCAGCAGGACCACCTGGCCCCCGTCCTCGAGAAGTTCTGCTTCTCGCCGTACCTGGAGACCAACTGCCTGGCGGCTGACACACGTCTGCAGGAGGAGCTGCAGCTGTGCTCAGGTGAGGCCCCCGCCTGCCTGGCCCTGCCACCTGTCCACCTGCTTGCCTGCCCGCCTTCAGCACCCACCTCTCTGTTCCCAGGCCTGGCACAGAAGCTACAGGCCAAGGTGACCCAGCAGGGGCTAAAGATGGCCGTGCCTGGACTGGGTGGTGCCTCAGCCCCCCGAGACCCCCCGCAGCACGGCCTGGCCCGACTGCTGGCTGCGGCCTGTCAGCTCCAGATCAACGGGAACCTACAGCTGGAGCTGGGCCCCGTGCTGGCCCAGGAGCGCCTCCTGCTGGCCGATGATCCCCTGCTGGCCGGCCTCCTGGACGCGTCCACCCTCAAAGCCTGCGTAGACACGGCCCTGGAGAACTTGAGTGGGACGCGGATGAAGGTGGTGGAGGTGAGCATGTGTTGGCACTTTGTTGGGAGGTTCTCATGTCCGGTGACCATCCGGCATGGACACCTGGGGGTGGCAGGGCCACCTGCAGATCGGTTGGGCACGTGAACTCAGGAAGCTGTCCCCCAGGTGCTGGCTGGTGAGGGCCACCTGTACGCCCGCATCCCAGGGATGCTCAACACTCAGCCCATGCTGTGGCTGGACTACACGGCCACTGACCGCCCCCAGGCCCTGAAGGCCGCCCAAGCCCAGCTGCAACAATACAGCGTAGCCCAGGCCCAGTGGGACCCCTTGGAGCCTGCACCCAGCAGCCTGGGCTCAGCTGACCTCCTGGTGTGCAACTGTGCAGTGGCCACCCTTGGGGACCCAGCCGCCGCCCTGGGCAACATGGTGGCCGCCCTCAAGGAGGGGGGCTTCCTGCTGCTGCACTCGCTGCTTCCGGGGCACACGTTGGGGGAGACCATGGCCTTCCTCACCGCAGCTGACCTCTTGAGCCAGGTGCCGGGGGCTGTGGGGGGCTGGGCACCGAGGTTGAGGGCTGCGGGGGCCTGGGCACAGGGGTTGGAGGCTGCGGGGGGTCGGGCACCAGGGTTGGGGGCTACGGGGGGCTGGGCACAGGGCTTGGGGGCTACGGGGGGCTGGGCACTGCTCCAGCCATATTGATGACCCCACCTTCTGTAGGATGAGTGGGAAGCGCTCTTTGCCCGGGCCTCACTGCGCCTGGTGGGGCTGAAGCGGTCAGTCTACGGCTCTGTGCTCTTCCTGTGCCGCCGGCCGGCAGCCCTGGACAGCCCCATCTTCCTGTCTGTGGATGATACCAGCTTCCAATGGGTGAACTCGCTGAAGGTCAGACCCTGCCCCCTACCCCGGGGTGACTCCCCAGCGCCACCCAAGGCTGAGCCTTCCCCCGCCCCTTGCAGGACATTCTGGCTGAGGACTCTTCCAAGCCCGTGTGGCTAAGGGGCTCCTCCACCTCGGGCGTCGTGGGCCTGGTCAACTGTCTGCGCAAGGAGCCGGGTGGTCATCGCGTGAGGTGCACTAGCTCCCCCTTCACCCCTCTGCCCGCCCCTCTGCCTGCTCCCCCTGCCCACGCCCCACCTCCCTTTCCACCTCTCACTCGCTGCCGCCCACAGGTGCATCCTGGTGTCCAGTCTCACCCGCACAGCCCCTGTGCCCCCGGTGGACCCCAGCTCCCCTGAGCTGCAGAAGGTGCTCCAGGATGACCTGGTGATGAACGTGTACCGTGATGGCGCCTGGGGGGCCTTCCGACACTTTCCTCTTGAGCAAGGTGGGCCCCACGCTGCCCCACTCCCCACCCACTGACCTGGTGCCTGCCCAGCCCTGGTTAACTGTCCCCTGCCTCTCAGACAAGCCGGTGGAGCAGACAGAGCACGCTTTTGTGAACGTGCTGACCCGTGGGGACCTGTCCTCCATCCGCTGGGTCTGCTCGCCGCTGCGCCATGCTGCGCCCAGCACTCCCGGCTCCCAGCTGTGCCGCATCTACTATGCCTCACTTAACTTCCGAGACATCATGCTGGCCACGGGCAAGCTGCCCCCCGACGCCATCCCAGGTACCTGCTTGGCTGCTGGTGGGGAGGGGCTGGTCAGGGGCCAAGAGCAGGGTCAGTCTCGCTGAGATGAGGCAGGGAGCCCGGGGCCCTGAGCATGGGCTGCAGAGGACTCTTCCCCTCGTCTCCCCAGGGAAGTGGGCCGCTCGGGACTGCATGCTGGGTATGGAGTTCTCCGGCCGGGACGCCAGCGGCAAGCGTGTGATGGGGCTGGTGCCCGCTGAGGGCTTGGCCACTTCTGTCCAGCTGTCCCCTGACTTTCTCTGGGACGTACCCTCTGGCTGGTGAGTGTTGGGCTTCGGGGTGCCCAGGACCTCCTGCCTGGCAGGAGCTGACCACCCCTTCATGCCCCCAGGACCCTGGAGGAGGCAGCCTCGGTACCTGTGGTCTACACCACAGCCTACTACTCGTTGGTGGTGCGTGGGCGCATCCAGCGTGGTGAGACGGTGCTGGTGCACTCGGGCTCAGGCGGCGTGGGCCAGGCCGCCATCGCCATCGCCCTGAGCCTGGGATGTCGCGTCTTCACCACTGTGGGCTCAGCTGAGAAGCGTGCCTACCTGCGGGCCCGCTTCCCACAGCTCGAGGACAGCAGCTTCGCCAACTCCCGGGACACGTCCTTTGAGCAGCACGTGCTGCGGCACACGGCCGGACGGGGTGAGCATGGCGCCTGCCCGGGAGGGGCTGGGGAGGGCGTCCACTGGGCGATGGGCAGGCCCTGAGGACCCATGTCCTATCCCCAGGCGTCGACCTTGTCCTTAACTCCTTGGCGGAAGAGAAGCTGCAGGCCAGCGTGCGCTGCCTGGCCCAGCACGGCCGCTTCCTTGAGATCGGCAAGTTTGACCTGTCCAACAACCACGCACTCGGTGAGGCCTGGGGACGGCGGGCACGTGGGCTGGGGCCTGCTGACCAGACGGCAGGTGGACGGGCCCTGAGTGAGTGTTCCCCGACCCCCAGGCATGGCCGTCTTCCTGAAGAACGTCACGTTTCACGGCATCCTCCTGGATGCTCTCTTTGAGGATGCAAGTGCCGACTGGCGGGAGGTGGCAGAGCTGCTGCGGGCGGGCATCCGGGACGGTGTGGTGCAGCCCCTCAAGTGCACAGTGTTCCAGAAGGACCAGGTGGAGGACGCCTTCCGCTACATGGCGCAGGGCAAGCACATCGGCAAGGTGGTGGTGCAGGTGAGGTCACGCGTGGCCCGCGGGCTTGGGCACGGTCACTCTGCTGGCCGCCCGTGTACGGCTTCTGGAGCGAGCTGTGTCTGCCTTCAGGTGCAAGAGGAGGAGCAGGACATGGTGCTGCCAACGGCTCGGCCCACGTTGACCACGGCCATCTCCAAGACTTTCTGTCCCCCTCACAAGAGCTACATCATTGCCGGTGGCCTGGGTGGCTTCGGCCTGGAGTTGGCCCACTGGCTCGTGCTGCGAGGGGCCCAGAAGTTGGTGCTGACATCCCGCTCCGGGATCCGGACAGGTGGGTGTAAGAGGTGTGGTGACACGGGAGTCCCTGCCCTGGGTCTGCTAGCTGGGACTCCACATCCAGAGCGGTCAGTGAGGCCGCCGTTCATCCCACAGGCTACCAGGCCAAGCAGGTGCGAGAGTGGAGGCGCCAAGGTGTGCAGGTGCTGGTGTCAACCCTCAACGCCAGCTCCATGGAAGGTGCACGCGGCCTGATAGCTGAGGCCACACGGCTCGGGCCCGTCGGAGGTGTATTCAACCTGGCCATGGTGAGTGTGTCCCCTGGGTGCTGGGGCCTGGTGAGGCAAGGGGAGGCCTGGCCAGCTGGTGCTGAGGGGTCCTCTCCCCCAGGTGCTGAGAGACGCCATGCTGGAGAACCAGACGCCTGAGCTCTTCCAGGACGTGAACAAGCCCAAGTACAGCGGTACACTGAACCTGGACAGGTGAGCACACGTGGCCCCCCCGACAGGTCCGACCCCCTTGCCTGAGGCAGTTAGGGCTGACACCTCATACCTGCAGGGTGACTCGGGAGGCCTGCCCCGAGCTGGACTACTTCGTGGCCTTCTCCTCGGTGAGCTGTGGGCGTGGCAATGCCGGGCAGACCAACTATGGCTTTGCCAACTCCACCATGGAGCGTATCTGCGAACAGCGGCGTCATGATGGGCTCCCAGGTGTGCCGCCGGCCAGTCCCTGTCCACATTCCTCACCCCATGTCCTCGCCCCCACGCCTCCCCCCTGCCAGTGTCCACCCCCAGATCCTCACCCGACACACACCCAGCCCCTTAGCCCTGCACCCACATTGCACCACCAAACCCACACCAGCCCCCTCCCTCACCCCACCCCCTCCTCATCCTCTCCCTCTTCCTTCCTCACCCCCCCACAGGCCTTGCTGTGCAGTGGGGTGCCATTGGCGACGTGGGCATCGTCCTAGAGGCCATGGGCACTAACGACACAGTCATTGGCGGGACGTTGCCGCAGCGCATTGCGTCCTGCCTGGAGGTACTGGACCTGTTCCTGAACCAGCCACACCCCGTGCTCAGCAGCTTCCTGCTGGCCGAGAAGGCTGGGGTGCGTAGTGAGGGTGACAGCCAGCGGGACCTGGTAAAGGCCGTGGCACACATCCTGGGTGAGTGTGGCACGTCCTGGGGGCTAACTAGAACAGGCATGACCCAGCCCGCCCCACCGTGGCCCTGATGACCTAGCATGCCTCCCCAGGAATCCGAGATCTGGCTGCGGTCAGCCCGGACAGCTCACTGGCAGACCTGGGCCTGGACTCACTGATGGGCGTGGAGGTGCGGCAGACACTGGAACGTGAGCATGACCTGGTGCTGTCCATGCGGGAGGTGCGGCAGCTGACGCTCCGGAAGCTCCAGGAGCTGTCGTCACAGTCCACCACGGCGGACGGTGCGTGCTGGGCAGAGGGAGTCGGGGCCGGGCAGAGGGAGTGGTGCTGGGGGTCAGCGAAGGGGCCCTCGTGCTCCCAAGTTCCATGTGTGCCTCTCTGCGTCGTTCTGCGTGGCTGCGGCTGTGCCTCTGCACCCACACGAGTGCCAGGTCTGTACGTGGTCCCCGTGTACGTGCCTGTAAACGTTCCTTCGTATGCACGTTTGCAGGCTCATCTGTGTGTTTGTACACGGTTAGACACGTCACCACAGCAGTGTGTTCCCATCCTTGTCGTGTGTGTGCGTGTGCACTTGCATGCCTGTGTCTGTGTGCACTTGCATGTGTACCTGACCTTGAGTTTGCGCACACCTGCCTTCTGGGTGGCTCGGGTTTTTGCCTTGGTTTTTGCAGCTGTGTATGTTTGCACGTGTGCATCTGTTCATGCATGCACCTCCACGCGTGTGTCTGCGTAGCTGTTTGCCGTGTGTGCCGCGTGTGGTTTGGTACATACACGTGTGCTTAGCTCCGTTTGTGTGCATGTGTGCGGACCAGCACACCTCTCTTTACACGTTTGCTGTTAAGAGTGTGGACATGCATTTATACACCTGTCTACGAATGCCCGCTGCAAAACGCCAGCCAGCCAGCCTTCACGCAGCGCCTTTCCACACAGAGCTCGCCTCCAGGACCACGGCAAGTAACCAGGCGGCCAGGCAGGAGGCCCAGCTGAACCTGAGCGCACTGCTGGTGAACCCTGAGGCTCCGACGCTGACAAGACTCAACACGGTGCAGAGCTCCGAGCGGCCTCTCTTCCTCGTGCACCCCATCGAAGGCTCTCTCACCGTCTTCGGCAGTCTGGCTGCCCGGCTGAGCATCCCCACCTATGGCCTTCAGTGCACTCGAGGTGAGGCCGGGCGGGGCCTGGGGGAGGTGCAGGCAGGTGGGCCTGGGGTCCGGCCTGCCTGGCCCGCCGTGTCTGAATGTCTTGTGTCCCCCAGCTGCCCCCCTGGACAGCATCCAGAGCCTCGCTGCCTACTACGTGGACTGCATCCGGCAGGTGCAGCCTGAGGGACCCTACCGCATTGCCGGCTACTCCTACGGGGCCTGCGTGGCCTTCGAGATGTGCTCCCAGCTGCAGGCCCAGCAGGGACCTGCCCACAACAGCCTCTTCCTGTTTGATGGCTCCCATGCCTACGTGCTGGCCTACACCCAGGTGAGGGGCTGGCTGCCACCCTCCCAGGAGGGGGCTTGGTCACTGCCCAGCTTGGCCACCCGCTGCCCCCATCTCTGTGCCCAGCCTCCCACAGCCTGTGTCCCGCCCTCTGCAGAGCTACCGAGCCAAGATGACCCCAGGCTGTGAGGCCGAGGCTGAAACAGAGGCCATGTACTTCTTCCTGCAGCAGTTCACGGACACTGAGCACAGCAGGGTAGGCCCAGCGCCGGTCGAAGGGCAGGGTGGGTCCAGGGCTTGTCCATCCACGTCCCTCTGAGCACCTGTCCCCACAGCTGTTAGAAGCGCTGCTGCCGCTGAAGGACCTGGAGCAGCGTGTGGCTGCCACCGTGGACCTGATCACCCAGCGCCACCAGGGCATCGACCGGCAGGAGCTCAGCTTCGCCGCCTTCTCCTTCTACCACAAGCTGCGCGCGGCTGAGCAGTATGCGCCCAAGGCCAAGTACCACGGCAACGTGACCCTGCTGAGGGCCAAGGTCGGCAACGCCTACAGGGACGACCTAGGCGCCGACTACAACCTGTCGCAGGTGTGCGACGGCAAGGTGTCGGTGCACGTCGTGGAAGGTGACCACCGTACCCTGCTGGAGGGCAGCGGCCTGGAGACCGTTCTCAGCATCATGCACAGCTCCCTGGCCGAGCCACGAGTCAGCGTGCGGGAGGGCTAGCCGCCCCGTCCCACCCCGGCGCCGCCCCCTGCCGTGTGGGCTGCGGAGGGTCCTGCCGGTGGGACCCCGCCCCGCGGCCTGACCTTGGCTGCCAGGCTCCTGCCGCCTCCTCCACGCACAGCTGCCCGCGACTGTAAGAAGCAGGACCGCGGCTCCCCCAGGCAGCAGCCGGCCGACCCGGAGAGCCGTGTGGTCTGTGAAGGGTCCCGAGCCAGCCAAGTCTGTTCCGTGTGGATTCTTGTATTTATTGCACCGCTGGGAGATGCCCGGCGGCCTCATCCACCCAGATGTCCAGCCCTCGTCCTCGAACCCGGTCCAGGCTGGCCGCGGTGCCCAGCTGCAGCTATGATACAGGGGCCTGGGGCGTCTAGCTCCAGCTGAGCCTGGCCTCTGTGGAGGCTGCTGATGGCTGAGCACGCGTGCGTGACGGAATCCCGTTGTCCACCACTGTCTTCAGCTCACATTTGGACCTTCACTGTAGTGTCACAAGGACCCCGTGTTCACACCAGCTCACTCCAACCTGACTCGTACCCTGACTCCCCATTAAACCCACGTCAGCGCTGCCTCACGTCTCCTCCTTCTCCAGAAGCTGGGCTCGTGGGGTGGGGAGGGTATCAGTCAGCAGGTGTGGGGGGCGTCCGTCAGGGAGATGGGGTGGACATAAGGACCCAGCTGGGGACAGGCTGGAGCTCTGCACCAGAGCACACGCCAGCCTGCCCACCACCACGCCAGGAGGCCAGCTGAGGGACCTCTGCTGAAGAGCTGACCTCTGCTGCCCAGCAGCGGGTGAAGAGAGCAAAGGCCACGTGGGGACAGCCATATCCGACCTTAGCCAACTCCACAGAGGAGAACTGTCCATGTCAGTAGCATGAACATCAGTCAGTTCTCACAAGGTCACAAGTCACCTGCATTCCCTCCCCCCTTTCTGCTCATCTCAGCACCAGTTTTACTGCTTTTCTGGATCCAAAATCTGGCGCAGTAACTCCCAGACCCATAGTGGGGACGTCAAAGGTTATGATCCAGGTTCACAGCAGAATAGGGCAACCTCCAAGATGTGCTCACAGGGACGCAGCCTTGAGCCTCACGCTTCAGGCCAGAGTCCTCGGTCCTGCCAGTATTGGCCTCCCTTCTGCCCCCAGCTGTCCAGCAGACAAGGCTCTCAGCTCTGGTTCTTTTCCTGGAGGCAGCAGTCAGGTTGCCGATTCTGCCGCTTCAGCTGCTGCTCTGGCCTTGACGGACGAGTTGCCCTCTCTTGCTGCTGCTGGATCAGCTCCGTTCAGTGGCGGGACCAGCAGTCCCCCTGCGGATAGGCTGACACGCCCTGTTCACATATTCCTGCCTCTCCACACGGCAAAGGCATTGCCTCATGGCCAGGACGGTCATTTTGGACAAACCTGTAACCACAACCCCCACGGGTTTACCACAAACCCCCAGGGAGGCAGAATGAGGCATTCACAAGCTTTCCCACCACAACCCAAGAGTCCTGTCCACAGAATGGGCATTCAGGGGAGGCCACTTGACAGGCTTAATGCCCTGTCTGAGTCCATGGCTGCCTGGCTACCAGGGAGGACAAGGGGACAACACGGGACTGAAGACCCATAAATGCGTGTCGTATGATGCCATCAGGTTGACTAACACAACAGTGCTGTGTGGACAACAGACCTAATCCTTGCCTTGTCCTGCTCAGGACCCAGGAAGGGGGGCATGTCTGTCTTGAAGGTTACTGTGTCCTTGCTGAACCCTGCCTCTCCTGACACTGTCCTCCAAGCACTGGTTCCTGATGATAGGCCTAAAGTCTACAGCAGAGAAGGGGACAGAAGAGGAACAGTGGGGAGATGCCCTTGACTAGGTACAAACCCAAGTCCTATGCCACCCCCAGCCTCCACCGCGCTTAGACCCCTTGCAGCTGCTCTGGTCAAACCAGCTGAGCCTTCCTCTCCTTGACCACTCCCCTCCCCTCCAAGACTACTGTCTCCTTCCGAGGATGGGCCTCTCCTACCGTGCCCAGAGCACGTGCGACCGTGTCCCACCATCTTTTCCTGTAAGGAGCATCCTAGCTGGGCGTCACATTTCATGCCTCCTCGGCCATCCGCAGTGGTCAGTGCTCCACCTCCTAGCTGGACGTCACACATTTCATGCCTCCTCGGCCATCCGCAGTGGTCAGTACTCCACCAACAGTGCACTTCACAGACACTGGTGCTTTTTTCAGTCCTTGCTGTCTAAGAAGCAAATAAAGCAATTGACACTCCCATGGTGAAGGTCGGCATTTGTCCCTGCTCTAGCGCTTTAAAGAGATCTGTGCTATGGCCTTGCTGCTTCCATGTGCGCTGATTTTGGACCCAAGGGAAATGAAATCCTTGACAATTTCGTTACTCCGTCTACCATGATGTTGTTCTTGGTCCAGAGGTGAGGAGGATGTTCTTGGTGATGCTGTGATCTGAAGGCTGCGGTCTTCTGTCTCTTCAATAAGGGCTTCAAGCCCTCTTCATTTTCCACCTTCAGATGTGTCATCCACTTATCACAGGTTGTTGATTCTTCCACCAACTTGATACCATATTCTTGGTCATAAAATCTAGCTTTTCAGATTATTTACTCAGCTTGGAAACTAATTCATAGCTGACGCTGGTGGGTTTGCAGAGGCTGAAACGGCACAGAAGGCTCCCCGTCTTTCTCCTTCAGAGTGCCTGGTGGGTTCAAGCTACCCACCTTCGCGTTGGCAGCTCAGCTCTCTATGCATTAGGCCACCCAAGTAGGTATGGTGACAGGATACAACCTCGACATATACCTTTCAAACCATGGAGTACCTCCTTGTTCTGTTTCTAGGTTTGTTTACAGATTCCCAATGAGCACAATTAAGTGTTCTAAGACTCCATTCTTCTCAGTGTCAGCCGTCAGTCAGATGTCTTTGCAAAGCCAATAAAAAACAAACCTCTTTTCTGTCATTCTACTTGCAGTCAAGATCCATTTGACATCAGGAATGATACTCCTCATTCCATGGCCTCTTTTGAGTCTAGCTTAAATTCCTGGCATTTCCTTGTCAATGTACCATACCAGTTGTTTTGAATAGTTGCGTATGATATTACTATTATTCACTATTTTTTACATTCTGATGGTCACTTGGCCAGGGGGCAATAGACACAAATATGCATCTCCCCTGGTCACCTGCCCATACAACCTTCCATGGCTTCTTGGCTTAGGCATGTCCAGGGCTGCATCTGTTTGCTGAAGCACCTCACTTGATGGTCCCTCAGTTCCTGGAGCCATGTTTTTGCCAAATCTTCAGTACAGCGTTGGTACCACTGGTTCTTGATCATACACGATGTTCTGCAAGGAACAACTAGCTCTTTTTAATATAATGATTTTGTGTATTTCTTCCCTTCTTTCAGAACTTTCAGCATCTTTCCGTATTTTTCACATAGAATTTTTCAGTATTGCAACTTGGGGCTTGACTTTGTTTTCAGTTCTCTCCGTTTGAGAAATATCAACTGTGTATTTTGTTTTCTAACTCGAGGGCTTTGCACATTTCATTATAATGCTTCACTTTGTCTTCTCAAACTGTCTTTCAAAACCTTCTGTTTAGCTCTTGTTTCATCATAGTCTTTCACAATTAGCCACAATGAACATTAATCCACACGCAAACGAAATAAGCAGACAGACAAGATGGCTAGATAAGGGCAGGTGAAAGGGACCCACTGCTGACGTGCTCAGCTGGGTTGACGATATTTCAACAGTCATATTGGTCTAGGTTGTGATTTTTTTCATATGCATCTGAAAACTGAAAGGGTTCCGTGTCAGCCACAGCGACTCTGTGGATTCCTCCCATTCTCTTTTGACGCTTCCTGGATCATTCACAGATTTGCTCTTCAGTCCTTTCGGCTTGAGAAATGCTGAGCGTACTCCTCCCTTTTGGTTTCCTAACACCAGGTCTTGGTGCATTTCACTGTAACACTCGCTTTGTCTTCTCCAGCTGCTCATGGCTCTCACCTCAGCATTCTTCCCCTGTCATTGGCTCCTTTTCCTTCCGCTGCAAGTTTCAGAGTCTCTCCTAACATTCCTTTCTTTCTTTGCTGGATTTGTAATGTCCTTTTTCCTTTTTCATGGAGGTTTTCCTTTATGTCATTTCACAGCTTGTCTGGACTTTGGTCATGAGCGCCCAGTGCATTAAGATGATTTTTCAATTCATTTGGGAAACACTGAAGGTCATATTTTGGTAACTGTAGATTTGTTTTTATTCTCTTCAATCTCAATCTGAACTTGCATGTGATGAGTTTGTTCCAAAGTTAGCCCCTGTCCTGGTTTTGACTGTTGATATTGGGCTTCTCCAACGTCTCTTTCCACTCATATTGTGACTCTGATTCGAAGCGGTGCTGGTGAAGATTACAGCATGTCCATGGATGGCCAAGAGAACAAACAAATCTGTTCGAAAGGAAATGCGACCAGAGTGCTCCTTCAAAGCAAAGATGGTGAGACTTGGTCTTACATACTCTGAGCATATTTGCATAAGGAACCAGTTCTTGGAAAAGAACATCACGCTGGGAAAGGTCAGGGGGAAAGAGGCCGCCCAGGCGTGAGATGGACCCCCACAGTAACTGGCACAGCGGGCCCAAGCCGGGCAGAGACCATGGTGCAGGCTAGGGCAAGGTACCTACAGCATCATGCATCTGAAAGTTGGACAGTGAATGACCACGACAGGAGAAGCATCAAAGCCTCTGAGCTGCGATGTTGGAGAAGTGCAGTGACTCTCCCATGGACTGCCTGGAAATAAGGCGATCCATCCTGGGGGACACAGCCAGGGCGCTACTTAGGGGCAGAGATGGTGAGACCGTCTCACCTTGGGCATGTTGTAAGGGAAGTCCAGTCCTCTGAAAAAGACATAATGCTGGAAATGGAGAGGGTCAGAAAAATGAAAGAAGACCCCCCAACAACATGGGCTGACAGGAGGACTGTAATCATGGGCTTCAGTGCAGCAGCGGTGGGGGGAGGGCAGAGGATGGGTGGGT